CACACGTGTGCATGCTGCAGCGTGCCAGCTCGATTTGTTCAAAGTCTTAAGTCCTCGATCCAAGCCGATGTGTGGTAATGTTGCAGGACTGAGTAGGAATGGCACTGTGGGCTCGGTTTGTGTCTTTCTGCAAGAGGCCCGCAAGTCGGGTGAATGGACGACTGCGGACAACTCGAGGGACAAAAACGTGGTACTTCTGCTAGTTTGGCATGGCAAGGTTCAAAACTCGACGGGCCAGAGCTGGACTATGTTCAAGGACACAATGCACTCGCTATATCTGGCTATGGTGTAGGCGGCATGTGGAAGATTCTTCAGGATGTGCCCTACAGCGCTGACTCGGGGCTGGTGGCCGTGGCCATTCCGGCAACTTGCTTTCAGTGGCAGAACTCTGTCACTTCTTGGACGCTTGCTATGGCGGAGCCTAAGGTGACCGTGGGCTTCGGAGCAGCTTGGATGGATTTTTCTTAACTTTCTTTGCACGGTCCCATGTCGTGTCCCGGCTCTCATAGCGCCCAGCATGACTGGCCGTCAGTCACCAGACTGCGAAATGAAGACTGACCAGCAGCCAGGCCGTCATTCTGATCGCCAAGATGCTGAAGTGAGGCAGAGTCGACTTTGAAGACCCTGGGGAGCCGAGCAGTGAGATTGTTGCTGAGTGCAGCTGTTCAGCCGGACTTTTCTATGCCCTTTCATAGTTTAAGCTCACTCTAAGACCGGAGCCTGTTTCATGTCGAAACGACCTCATCTGCTCGGGGGAGATCTGATTCACCCTATACTTCCAGTCTCGACACAATTTGAGGCACGCAGACTTGATCTCTGTGCGAACCACGGTAACCTCCGCAAACCAGAAAGCAGTGGGCCCTTCCATCCGGCTTGCCGAATTGTGTCGACCCGGAGGAACCAACCACAAGGCAGGACGTGAGGTTTGTTATTGTTAAAAGTGGTGTGCCACCAAGACTCTTCACTTTGTTTCTCTAGAGCCTTTCACAACTGGTTCCAGCATCGAGGGAATCGACATTCGTAGAGCTACGATTGAGAACCTGACTGCATTACAAGTGCCTGGTACTTGAAATGGTCGCAAGTTCAGCGAAGTGCAGTGCATGTACAAGCGGGTGTAAGGGTACCACTGTACCACACATGCATCCCTCCTGAGATTACCACTGTGCCTAGAACGTCGTTGAGCCAATGACACGTCTATCGTCGTCAGTGTGGTTGGCGATGGCTCCTCACATTCGATTGCAGTTTCAATGCTTTCTAACTTGACGTGGCATTTCCGGGGGTTCTGCTGGAGCCCACAGGAAGTGTTCTGTCCGAACCTTTCTCCGACAGCCAGGCGAGAGGTGAAAAGAGCGATGGTGCATGGCGGGATGGCAAGACATGAGCCGGCAAAGCTAGTAGAGTTCATAACCAGATGTCTAGATAGCAAGTCATCCCACGCTCATGAAAGCTCTAAGAGCCTTGATTCCGGCTGCAGGCCGATGACTGGGTCTTGTACCACTCTGTGGCCCGAGCCACGGGGCTCTGGCCAACATGCTCGAGCAAGCGTAGACTCGATGTCCGCAAGGGTCTTTATGGCAGAGGTACCGTGCGCCGGAATTGCTCTTCGGCGCGAAGCACTATGGTCAGGCCAGAAGTGCAAACCCTTGTCCTCTCAATGTCTTTGGACTAGTATTGTTGGTCCCACGGGCGTGCATGACACTGGCATCTGTTGCTGCTTTACACAGTTGTGTTGACGTTGTATTAACATTCTACTTCTGCCGCTGGGTAGATTACTACTCACCACGTACTTGCTGCTTGTGGCAACAAGCGCTGTCTCCTGCTTCCGCTTGTGTTGTCGTGTTGCTGCTGCTGGTTGTTGCTGCTGCTGCTGCTGCTGCTTCTGTGCTTCAACTCGAAAAGCCGAGAGTGCGACACTATGTATGCCATCATTTCTGTTTCTTCATCGTACTCCTCGGGCTGACACATACTACACTATGCTACACTACGCTACACTACGCTACTGTGTGCAGCCCTTCTTTCGGACTTACTGTAGTATGGTTGTTTTTTCGTCTTGGTTTGTCCAGGCTCATAGATCTCGTGCGAGCCTTCTTGAGCATGCGAGTCACCACACAGGGTTGAGCCACAGTCACAGGACAAGTCTTTCTGCATTCGTTCTGGAGGCTGTTGACATTTGGAGCAGCGGCTGCGTCGTTGCGGAAATGTTGATGCGGGAGGCATTCCACGTTTCTAGTACTCTGGCACCAGTTCTCGGCAGATGTGCCATCCGTTGCTGCCTAACAGGCAATGTTCCCGGGGCGCGGGGAGTTTGAGATGCTGCAGAAGATCATTGAGCGGCGCGGGACGCCGGATCCCAAGCTCGAAGTGCTTTTCGATGGGCTGGGGCTCGAGCATGCCGCGAGAGAAGCCGAGGCCTTCGGAAGAAGTTTGGAAGGATGCTCGTCTGCATGGAGCTCCGGTGCCTCTGCACACGAGATTCGAAGGTGAAGGTCTTATGGGAAGTGACTCCTCATCGCATGTCCCATGAGGATGTGTCTTCCCTGCCGAACTTCGTGGAGTTCACTCCCCACCCGAAGGTCCGTGTGGGTCCTCCGTCATAAGACTGAAGGAGATGCCTTCACAGACTTGAGGCGCAGATGGATCAAATCCTTCCAAACGCGTCGTAGCTCGGCCTGACAGTCGGGAAAAGAAGCAGCTTGCAGTTTTTTCTTTTTTAAACGCCCTCTTGAGGGCTATCTCTCTCTCCCCATTCAGGCCGGCCTCACAGGCCTTCGCAGACTTGCTGCTGACCTTGGATCCCAAGCAGCGCCGGAGCCTCGGAGCCTCGGAACTTCGGAAAGACTCGCCGAGCCGACCCAAAGGCCCCAGTGCTGCCGGGGCCCTGGCCCACGAGGCTCTGAAAATGGCCGCAGCCTTGGGAGCGTCCTTGCGCCCTTGCGGGGCCCGCTTTGCCCAAGCCTTCAGGCTCGACCTTTGCCATGTGCGCCGAGCGAGCTCCCCTTCGTGAGAAGAAGTGGGGGAGCCCAGACTCTGGTTTGGTCATTGAGAGTGCCCGGAGGGATGAAGAACCTAAGAAGATGACGGGACGTCAACAACGGCTTCGGATCTTCGCGCCTTTTTCGACCCCTTCTGTGTCGCCCAGGTGGATAGACACGACGAGGCTTCAGAGTTGAACCTGAAGCGCTGCTGGGTTGCCAGGTCGTTTCAGGGCTGCTTAGATGGGTGCCACTTTTCTTCGGACCCCGAGTTCTACCAAAGCCCGGTTGCACGAATGCCCACTGCGGCAGCTGCAAGCAGCAACTGGGCCTGAAAGTTTCACGCGTTAGCTGGATGGGATAGGTTGGCACAAGCTTCCCAGAAAACAAATTACGACTTCCAAATCGTCTTCAACTTTCTCCAACCTCCACTGCATCTAGATAGGATGTGACACAGAGCAAGTGAGTTGCTCAGTGCTCTGCAGGTTTTGAGTGGCATCTCTGCAACATATAAGGGTTGACGGTTGACGGAGCTTCGATGGACTGATCCGAGTTTCGAAGGCTGTCTTGCAGAGAGGCGAACAATTCATGATGGAATTCGTTGAGCAGCCAGGCCCATGGTTGAACCCTTCGAACAGCAGACCGGAGATTCTACAGTAGAGTGTGGAAGCTATGTTGTTTCAAACTTGGGCCATGCACCTTAGATGTGGGGCTTCTCCACGCGTTCGCAAAAAGAGCTGTTTTCCAAGGATGTAGCTGTGAATGCCCCTGAAGCCAGTTGGAGCAACGACTGCATCATGCTTCTGCATGTGTTTCAGCACAAGTCTTGATTCTTCTGTCTGAGGATAGATCCATAGAGGTTTGCAACAGACAACTGCCCCGGATCTCACAAGACATTGGACCAAGTCGCAACAAGCTAGAGACAGCCTCCAGATGTTAGTTTACGACACTTGGAGCAACTAAGTCACAGCCAGGCAATCACAGGTACATAAGTGTTTTGGGCCACAGCTCATGCAAAGCATCGGGATGTGGCCAGAGGACGTCTTTCTGTTGACATGCGCCCCGCCACAAACGTGCACGTCTCAGATGAATTCCGGCATCTAGCGAATGTAGCGATGCGTTATGCAGCTCGATATCCCCGTGCAGGCATCAAGTATGGTACGGAAGAGCAAGAAGAAAGGTGAGGGGGCTCAGTTCGTTTTTTGCCAGGTCACAGGCGGCGACGTGTATTTTGGTCATCTGTCTTTACATCCTCCTGTGAGCGTGTTTCTGTGTGTTTCTGTTTGATGCGCCAAGGTGCCCCAGCAGACTCAGCCGAGGCAACATTGAAGAGACCAATGGCAGCCTTGGATGTTTTGTCAGCAACCAGGCATCTGCCGCCTCAAAGCCGGAGGCACTAAAAAGCACATCATCGAGGCCATGCGCTGCTGTGGCTTTCCCATCCTGTTACTACGGCCATCGCAGAATGACTCGCTTACCAAGTGACGTGTTGCATATAGCATAATATCATATCATAGCATGTCATATCATAGTAAAAGTATAGTACAGTAGACTAGAGTAGAGTATGGTATTGAAACGCATTACATTGTGTTGTATTCTCTTGTATTGTATTGTTACTTGTATTGTATGGTATAGTATAGCGTAGTATGGTTTAGTATTGCCTAGCATAGTTTAGCATAGTTTAGTAGACACTATTTTTCCAGCATACTTAGCATAGTTCGCACAGTTTAGTTTAGTTCGATATAGTGCAGTGTAGTATCGCATAGTCTAGCATAAGATGGATAGGATAGGATAGTATGGTATAATATAGTATAGTATAGTATAGTATAGTATAATATAGTACAGCATTATGCAGGGCTTCATGTTGCAGGCGCGCAGCCTCGCCCTCATCTCGTCTGCCTGCAAAGGCGACCGAATTGTTTTCGAGTGCAGACTCCTCGCATTTGGCCATGTTTGCTTGTGGCTTTTTATTGATATTGAGCTCTTGGCGACTGATTCTGCGAGGCCGACACTGGGAGACAAAGTAGCATGCAAGAGGTCTTGAAGCGGCAACGCCGGGACAAGGATCACGAGGAGAAGGGTTTTAGCTGGGTTGCATCTTACTCCGCTCGCACTCACAACCGGTTTGCTCCACCATCGTACCCTGCTCATCTTGTGTTGAGTTTTTCGAGCTCGAATTCGACTTGCAAAGGCCACTCCAGGGAACCGCCCAAACCCTAAGTCGCATCCGACACGAGGAGCCGGTGGTCATCGAATCTGAGGAGGAAGCCGCGGCAACGTCGTCGAGGCAAGGCATCGACAGGGAGCCCAAGCGTGGGCCGAGCAAGAGTCTGCATCCAGACCCGAGTATTTGGCTCCAGGCCGCGTGAGCCCCTCACTCCGAAGGCAGGATGGCCCCAATTTAGCATGCAGATGGGAGCCTGTGAGCCCAAATACTGCCAGACACATTCTCGGCCGGCTTCGAAAATGGCATCTCCCATGCCCGATGCATCTTCGCCAGAGGCCCTGCCTGGACTTTCCTAAATCGGGGCTGAGGACCATCTTCTAGTAAACGGCTCCAGGCGCTTCACGCCCAAGTGTGTTCGGCAACGGGGACACTGCAGGTAAGTTTCTGCGATTGTTCAGACGGTAGAACCTACGCCCTATGTTCCAGGCCTTCAGTTGAGGCAGGCATCAGGCATGATACTTTCGGCCAGCCCAGAAAAGGAATGACGTGAAGGTACTATGTACAGTGCGATAGTGCAAGAAGGTCAAGCACCCGATGGCGCCTCTGGTGTCTGGGAGGAGCCTACCCCGAAGCGCTCGAGAATCACTACGAAGACCAGCAAGAGACACTGGCATGCGTTGCGCGCCTGCTCCTTGAGTGTCATTCTGGTCTGTTTCGCTCTGTACTTGGGTCTGAACTCACCACGCAGGCTGCTTTGAAGGGTAACTGCAAGTATCGCCCAATCCGGTGCGCATCACAGCCTGATCTCTTACAAACGATCCGACTAGGCGGTCTAACATTTTGAAGCAAAATGTCTTTTTAGGGTGTGGCAGAGAAATCTGAAAAAGCGTAGGACCTCAGAGCTGCTCTTTCGGAGTGCCGTGGCTGGGCTCAGGCTCCAAGGGTTCGAGGCCCTTACACCGCAGCTTCACCATTCAAAGGGCAGGGGAAAGAAACAGTGGCGGGCGCTTCGGACTTTAAAAGTGCGAGCTCGCACGCAGAAGCCAGGTTGGTTGACTGATGTCGGGTGCAGGGTCTGGATGAGGCTCCCATGGCGTAGAGTACACCTTTCCCCTGCTTCAGCGCTTTTTGGCGCTCCAGCAGACGAAGCGATTCAAGTTGGAGCATCTCCAGATGAGGTGTGTTGTTCCCAGCCTGTTCATACAAGTAGCATGCAGAGGCTTCAAGCACGATGTGCCAGGAAGACTGTCGAGCAGATCTACCAGAAGAAAACGCAGCTGGAACACATCCTCCTACGCCAGAAGCTGAGCCCAATTGCGTGTTACAGTACACGGCACTCGCGTTGCCCGTGTTGGCATGCGAAGGGCCTGACAGCTATGTGGGCCACTGCCTCGGTACTCCATGCCAAACTGCGGGACCTGCTTGCATGCTTCTGTCAGATTCTGCTGCCCAGTAAGGTGTTCTTGTTATGTACGAGTGCTGTTGCCCAGGCTCTGTCGAGCGGCAGCAGCTCGAGCTGTGGACTCTTCCTGGAGGGAGCAGCAGCGATTCCTGCATGGTGTCCCTGAATGCATATTTCCGGATGGAATGGCCGGCTTCAGCCAGGCAGTGACACTGCTCCCAGGCCCTGTGGCCAAGAGTTGGTATACCAGAGCGTCCTTTAGCTGGAGTCTAGAAGAGAGTTACTTGTAAGGATGGTGCGGAGGAAGGTGGACTACGTGCCTGGCACCCAGCTGTGGGACACGTCGTACGTCGCTTTCGAGGAGACCTCTGAAGCTGTGGCCAGGCCGGCTCTCTACAAGATTTTCGATGAGATTCTCGTGAATGCTGCGGACCGCAGAAGCAGAACCTAAAGGGCACTTTCCCCCTAAGACCTCATGCTCCGGAAAGGACAACTTGATTCGGGATCCATCCATGAACACCATCAAGGCCACATGAGGGTTCAGTGGTGCTGATTGCTACACGTTGACTAGAGCTTCGACCAGAAAGCTTCTAGACGCACCATCCTGAAATCCAAGCGGCGTGTCGGAGCCAGGTTGACATCAACAAGAAACAGTCTCGCATCTCGGTGTGTGTCTCAGTCATGGTCCAGCTACGGCATGTGTGGCTCTTTCGCGCGGCACATGTTCTGAGATCTGGAACAATGGCAGGGGACTTCCAGTTCAGGCACCGTTTGTTGTCATGCCACGGACGAGTTCCTTCCCAAAGCCTTTGTGGATCAGCTCGAAGGTGCACAAGGAACACCGTTGCTATGTGCCGACATTAGCCTTGTGCTTACATCTTTCGCACAAGTATGCCTTCATTCCCTACATTTCAGGAGTTGCTGTTGATGCTTCTGTGCTTTTGAACATTGGTAGACACACGTGGAAGCCTGATGATTACGCTCTTTCTAGTGCTTGGCGTATAGCTCAGAACTGCTTGAGAGGAGTGTTTCGGGAAATAGTCCGAGGTTTTCGGCCACCTGCTGACCAGTGACAACTACGACGACAGTGATCTGGATGCATTGAGCAAAAAATCGAGGTTGAGCCGAGAAGCGTTCAGTCTGCAAGCCGTAAGCATTTGCCATAAGACTAGGAATTGCGATGTCTTGAAATGGTAGTATTACAGACAGCGGATTTCGGCGCTCTGCCCTTGTTATTTTGTTGTTGCTCCGCGTATCGAAGTATCCGGCCTCTTCGTGAAGTCGCTGAGTCGTCGAGCAACACAAGCTGCTCGGTGCACGTGAGGTGAGAAGAAAGTCGTTGGTGGTCGGAATGGTATGAGTCTGAGACGAGCCCACCGTTAAGATGCACATTGATGAGATGTCAATGCTGCTGCTGAGGCTATGGAGCCAAGCTGACCAACATCTATTCCAAGAGGTTCATCGTCGAGACTGCTGATTCCGGAAGCGCACGGCTCAGCTGCAGCTTCGATATCGTGAATTACACTTTTTTTCCTGAACTTTGGGTCAGGCCGCAGCAAGTATCGGCAGCAATGGGGCAATAACATGCCCTGCTCTCAGACTCTCAGGGCCACCATGACACCAGGCACAAAACGCATCAACATGCCGTGGCCCGATTTCGTTCTCAGGAGGCAGGCGGACGAACCAGAGATCGTACCGTACAAGGGGAAGGCCGCTGTTGGTAATTGGCACACAGCTGGCAATCAAATCAGCTGGCAGGACTTCACAGCAGTAACCTTCGAGCCGGATTTGCAGCGGTTCGGCATGACCCACCTGGAGGAAACTATCGGAAAGCTTCAGACAACGCATGGTCTTGGGTTAGAGAGAACAGGACGACATCTTGGCTTTGATGGAGCGACGTGCGTACGACGTCGCTGCTTCGACGCGAGGACGCTGTGAGGCAGCGTCCTCAAAAGAGTCTAACCCTCCGAGCCGAGCTTGTGTTTGTTCCATCACTCCGTTGGACTGCATCACGTCAATACCGGCAGTCGGTTGTCATGCTAGCGATTCAACAGACACATGGTGTGCTCATGCATGATGACGTCTCTTGGCGAAGGTCTTCCTGAACGGGCAGTGTTTGGAGGTGGATTCCTTCGAGGAGACACCCGGTCAAGTCATCACGGGTGAGCAAAAGTTGCTGAAGCTGCAGGATTACGTCAGTCTCTTCCTAGACCCCGATGATTTCCGAATCAGCGAGGCCAGCGTGAACAGTCCTGGCTAGCAGCCCACCATGTCTACTCTACTGTGAGGTCTGCAACGACAGATGGGAGGTGGCGATTGCCTTGACAGACGGCCGCAGCCAAAGCTCTCGCAGTGATGTGTAAAGCGCCGAGGGAGTGACCAGATTCCAGCAGTTCTAGCCGTTCGGGCTATTTCTGTTCGAGCAGGATTTTGCCTTGCTGTTGAATCTGCCTAGGGCTTCGTGTCTAGCTGCCGAGGCAGCGGCTTCCGGCAAGTCAGCTTCGTAAACTCCATCTGCACCAGTCGAGGATACCGTGGAGACTGGATGTGTTTCTTGGGCCCTATAGCTATGGAAAGTCCCATCCGGAGGAGGCACGCACGTGAACTGCGTGGCGGAGCAGGCGGGTCAATGGAAACTGCTTGTCTCATGTTTCACCTCGGGAGCCGCAGTGGAATGTCACACGCGCTCGTGTGCAGAGTACTTCGAAAGTGCATGATTCAAAAGTCTCGCGTGCAGTTTCACATCGTAGGTTCGATCTTCCCTACAGAACCTCAGGTGGTTGCCGCAGTGATGGAGGAGGTGGCCAAGGAGAAAGGGGTCCCAAGCTCAGAGTGCACTCTTCACACATTGGATCCGGCCTTCGTGTATGGCGAGGCCAAGGGAACTCTGGCCGTGAAGCCACAGCACGTGTGAGTCTAAGTGCAACCGCCATGAAGCAGCAAGAACTGAATATGACTATGGCAACAGCTGGTGCAACCTGCCTTCAAGTTCAAAGTTCCCCGCTGACGTAGAGTTAAGAGTTAAAAGGTGAAGAATCATTTGTGGGTCTTCGTGAACTGCCTCATTGAAAACCCGGCTTTTGATTCGCAGACGAAGGACTATGGAGAACGCAGAGGCCAAAACCCCGCCCATGCCCAGTTTGATAGGAGACGTTGACCACGAAGAAGGAGCGCTTCGGCTCAACGTGTGAGCTGCCGGATTCCCGGAGTTTGGAGTTCTATCGGCTTCGACTTCTGGTGGGCTCCGAAGTATTGCTGCAGATGGCTCCAGCCCCCCTGCGAAGTTGTTTGTGTCAGTTTTCAAAATGTCCTGTCTGAATCTGTTCTCCAGGCGGCTTGCTTGGGAGGTCACCTGTAAAACTCGTCCGCGCGCATATGTGTGCCCGCCGCCCACGTTTGAGGTGTTTCTTGCAGGTTACGCTTCAACTCATTCAACTCCCTCGAAACCGCTCTGGTTTTCGACTCGCATCGATGTCAGACCAGTGCCAACGTCCTTTCGCGCCGCATCCGTTTCGGACTTTCATTCATGCCGTCAATTTCTGCCACCGACTCCTTTTTTTGTCAGGTTTTCCTTCATTTCCCTTGCTGCCCAAGGGGTTTTCGGATTTCAGGCTCCGTCGCAGGTGGGAAAGAGACCACCATGCAATTGCGCAGAAGAAGCTCGCGGATTGTGCAGAGTACGCGCTTGAGCATCTAGTTATTGGGATGTTGGTCAACACGTTGACCATCCCGCCAATGCGAACGAAGCACTTTCATAGCGGATGTTTTGTTCCATCTGCGTGCGCGGAGTCAGGGGCTGGTGAGTACTGTGCCTGACGATGAAAACGACATGCCCTTTCAACATGTGACTTTTGCGGCGAGCGAGAACTGGGGCACTGTTGTTTTCGTACAAATGCTGTTCTTTGGATGGACCCGGCAACGATTTCCTTAGCGGGCCGAAGCGGTGCCGGTGCAAGCGCTCGAGTTTCTTTGATCGGATTCAGGTCTGAGGATGTCCTTCAGGCTGTGTGCAGCAGCGGCATTGCTTCTGCCCCAGCATGGACTTTGTTGAAGATCGCGTCCGATGAAGGGCGATGCTGGCTTAAAGCAGGTCGAGACATTGCTGGAATGGTCCAAAGCCTTGGGCAAAAGCCGGCGTCTCAACCGATGATTGAATTCCCCAATACTCAAGGACGCACAGTCAGGACTTTGTGCGGCTGGTGCATGTATGCTTGCCGTGGATCGGCAGGTGAGTTGGCACGGCATCTCAACAAGAGCGTCATGCCAGCTTTGGTCTTGGGGAACGATGGCTGGGCATCGTTGAAGGGCAGGTTTGTGCCCTCTAGCAAACTTCGGGAGGTGAAGTAGCCGCAAGTGAGGTTTCAGATGCTAATGTTGCATTGCACGTTGAAGCCTGGTCCCTGCCCGGCTTGGCTCGCAGGAACAGTTTGTGTAAGTAGAGAGTGCCTTGGTGCACTCGGGACGGGCGGGCACGCCAAGCTGCTAGTCTTCACCGCTGTCGGGATCTCAGCTCTGAGTCCAAGGACGGGGGAGGCGACGAATGCATTTTTTGAGCCGAGGTGGAGCAGCTCTTGGCTGCATCCACGGGTAATGCAGGGCGGTGGCAATAATGCCAACAACATCCGGATGGGTGTACCCAACATGATGATGGGCATGGGCCAAGGCAGGACAAGTGGTGAGAGACAGGTAATGACCAAAGTTGTCAACGTTGACATTGAAACTGCTGCTTGTTAGGCATGCGAATGCCCATGGGAATGCCCATGATGGGCATGCCCATGATGGGCATGATGGGCATGCCCATGAATCCCATGATGGCCATGCCGATGAACCCCATGATGGGCATGGGCATGAACGCCGGCATGGGCATGAACCCCGGTATGCCAGGCCAGTGCATGGCACCTATCCAAGCTGACTCTGCCAGACTGCACTTCATAGCCTGAAGAACGTCAAACTATCCTGTCTCTCACCACGACTCTACCACCGACTGAAGTAAACTCCAGCCTTTGGGGGCCCCCATGTGTTTTGTTCCAACCTCCCAGGCGCCCAGTCGCCGTCGCCGTCCGGACAAGGAGCCGACCGCAGTAGCGATCTCATCTGCGGCTTTGGGGGGGGCCTCACTTGTTGAGCTTTCCAGCTTGCTCGGGTGAGCGGCACTTGTGATAGCAGCCTGGAGGAAGACTGTTTCCATGTGCAACTCCAGGTGCTGGGGTGAGTCCTGCAGCTAGCACGGCTGTGGTGCCGCCAAAGGTCGACACTCAGCCGCGCTCTCGGAGACTGCCAGCTCGTGAACATTTTTCTCTTTGAGTCGATCGCACTATGAACCGGAACGCGGCTGAGGCCCATACCAGAGTCTAAAGTCCTTCCACCGGGGCTCCCACCGGGGCTCCCGCCGGGGCTCCCGCCGGGTGTCGTGCACCGCGAGCGAAGCCGCAGTCGAGACGCCGTGCGGGTACCACCGAAGGCGGGAAACGGCCGGAAGTGACTCTTGGCAACTTTTTTTGGATATCCGACGCGAGGCTGAGATGGAGCCCGAGCCAGTTCGGGAGCCTACGCCTCCTCGAGAGAAGACGCGGCGGCCTAAATCTGTTGGGGTTGAAGAGGGTCCCTCCTTGGGGGATCCATCGGCCACCTGGGACGTCCTTGAAGATCTTCAGAACTTGTCCTGCGGGAGGCCTCCCAGATGTCATCTTCACAACACCAAGAAGCCCAACACAAAATGCAAGTTCTGCCAGCCGCCCGGGCATGATTGTCCGGATAGGTTGGATTCCTGTCAGTCCGCCCCTGGCAAGCCCATGGGCGAGTATGAAGAAGGGACCCCTAAACGCTAAACTTCCTTTGTGGCCAGGAGGTGGCTGGCAAGTCAAAGCCAGGCCCAGCCCGAATCTGACAAGGCACGGTGTCCCTCAACGCCAATGTATCATTAGCACTAGCACTGTTATTGTTATAACTATCATTGCTATTATTGGTAGTATATTTAATGTTCGTATTAGTATTCGTAGCAGTATTAGTATGAGTATCAGTGTCAGCATCAGTATTAGAATTAGTATTAAAATAGCATTGTTGTTATTATTATTATTATTGCTATTATTATTGTTATTTACGGGCTGCCGCCAGTGCCGCCGACCCCGAAAGCTGCGAGGTGACTATCCAAGGAAGGAAGCAGGCGTTAAAACAACATTCCAAGTAAGGGCAGGTCGACAGTGATGCCGGATCACACCCGATTTCAGCCATAGTGCCCAAGCTAGTCGTGCAAAGCTTCTCCACTGCGA